AAAACACACTCCAGTGACGTAGAAATGACTGCTGGCACCGGCACGATCCGCCACTGATTTCAGCTTCCCTGTGACGAGCGTAGGCATGGCTATGGTTTTGGCCTTTACTTCCCCTTCATTTTGTGTGCTGGAGAGATGTGTACGCACATAAACACACACACACGTACGAATCACACACGGGAGACTGGGTTGCTTCTGTGTGTGAGTTTGTGTGGTCACCTCTGTGACCTTTAAGAAAAACATCCACAGGAACAAGTCAAATCAAGAAGTACAGGGAGTTTTTGTGTACAAGTGTGGGTGAGAGTGTGTGTGTGTGTGTGTGTTGGCTGAATAAAGCAGATAGATACAGACAGACAAAGACCTCATTAGGTCTAGGAGGTGTCCTGTCTAGACAGTTTGATGACAGGACACAGAACCTCTGTTTAATGTTTCCTCCCCCTGTCTTTTCTTTCATTTCACTCTGTGCACACACACACACACACACACACACACACACACACACATACATAGATCACCTGCACTCACTTCATTCAGGGACACCCACACACTTAATGTCAAGCAAAATCCTTGTTGATATTCCTAAGTTGTGTAACCAGTGTTTCCTAACCCTTTTGTAATGTCATTAAACACAATAATCTTCTAGTTTAAATGACTTCATAATTTTAGTAAAATCTCTCCTGTTTAGTTGAAGACAACACTGATATACTGGCAGGAATTGAAGAAAGACAGTTTTGATTTATTTTCTTTTTTAGTTTTCATAGCCATCTGCTGCCACCTAGCGGAATAGTATGTAATTGTTCTGCCTTTCATGCTTTGACGACCAATAAATAATTAATAGTTTTCAGTCCAATTAAGTGAAATTGAGTAATTTTCCACGGCACACTGGTGGTCCACGGCACAGTGGCTGGGAATCCCTGGTGTAAAGCACATGTTGAAATGTTGGATATAATTGTATCAAATTGTAAAAAATAGTAACTTAAATATAAATCTGCGAACTATACCCGTGTGGGCATATGAAACACTGCAGCTTTACAGAGAAAATGTTTTGGCTAAAATCACAGAATCTGAATGAAGAAATGTCCTCACTCTGGATGTGTGTGCGTGTGTGTTTGGTGCTGGTATGTGCAGCTTTGATGCCGGTCATCACTCGTCACTTGCAGACACGATATGCTCTGGCAGAAGTCGCAGAGACAGAGATATGGACACCTTTGGGTCTTATCATCAGACCATCAGAGTCAATAGGGAGACAGGAAGACACAACACACGCCAGGGTTAAAAGAACTGAGAGAGCAAAGGAGCCGAGACACAGATCTAGGAATGTCTTTATCTCTTCACATTTAAGTGGATGTGAACTTGGACATTCAGGTAGTCCTCTGCTAATACTGTAGTGTCAAGTGTGATGACGGAATCAGACTTTATTTTCTTTGTTTTCAGATTGGATATAAAGTGTATTCAAACAATATACAACATAAAGAGAAAAATATAATGTAAAATAATTAATTAAAATAATACTAGCAAAGACCTGGAAGTAGAACAGAAACAACTATAGAAATGTCTATGGAAATAGAGTTCTAGTTCTAACTTCTTAACCAGTTTATAACAATAGTAAACATTTTTCTTGAGTTTATGGTCACAAAGGCTCAGACTGTTAGTACAGTATTGGTTAAGGGATCAGACCATCTCTCCCTCTGTCTCCCCCTCTGTCTCCCCCTCTGTCTTCCCCTCTCTCTCCTCCTCTCCTCCTCCTGCAGACTCTGCGGTCACTGCTTGTTGTTTCTCTCTCCATCGTCAGGGGTCGTGCATGAACTGGACATTTGTTTTCCTCGGCTCTGCACGTCTGCAGATGTCACACGGCAGTCATTACAGATCTGTGAGCCTGTGTGTAGGTTCTAGTGTTTCTGAACTGTTTTTTTATGACCCCCCCCACCTCCCCACAAAGACAGGTGATCGAGCGCCTCATATTCCAGGTGTCATTAAAGAGAAGTAACGTATAAGTAACGAGAATTTACTGTGCTATAAAACCACCACGGTATTCATAATGTAAATTGTCCATTTAACTGTACGCTCGGGTGGAGTCACATGACTAATGTGCAACACGAGTTCAAGAAATGCAATTGACGCATTTATTAGAAAATAGTGGAAATAAGATGGGCTTAAAAAAAAGAAGAAGAAAAAAAAAGCTCCACCTCTGGATAAATACGCGCGCAGTGGGCGGTTTCTGTGCACGCACTCACGCGCGCACACACATTCTAACTGAGGCATATGCAGTGTAACCTGCTGATCCCTGTTAGACCGTCACCGTGGAGGAGCACGGACTGTGATTGAGACCAGTCAAACTGACAGGACGGTCGGTCGTCAGAGCGCAGACGTTTTTGGACAATCTGTCCTTTGGGAATTCGCTGTTTTTTATTTTTTTAAATTAGAGTAAAATGGATCATTCCACATGTTTGTTTTTAGTTTTGTTGTTGGATTTAGTGTCAGGCGGCGCCTTCTGACCGACCTTCCACCGTGCGCTCCCATCCTTTTCTCATGGTGCACTTTATCCTGAAGCACCGCAGCGCGCTTTGGAACTCTGAGATGAAGTCAACGGCAACCTTATCAGGCTTTATGGATTATTTCAAATGGCTTGACACACAGACATATATTGGCTTCTGATCTGTGGCTGACGGACTTCAGCGCGCTCAGACGGACTTTGGTTGCCATCCCGCATTCGGAGAGACGAGTGCAGCTCCGGGGCAGAAACATTTGGGACTCCGAAGAGCTCAGCGGGACAACATCATGTCCAACTGCTGTCTTGCTTTAGTCGGATTGTGGTGGAGCGCTTATTACTGCATCGTCCTGGTGTCGGGGAGTAATTATTCACTGGATGGGAACAACGAAGTGCACCAGAGTTTCATCCACCGGCGGCTGCGGACGCACGAGAAGAGGGAGATGCAGAAGGAAATTCTCTCCATCCTGGGCCTGCCGCACAGACCCAGACCGCACATATCGCACGGAAAGTTCAACTCCGCTCCACTTTTCATGCTGGACTTGTACAACACCATATCCACGGACGAGAAAAGCCATGTGGAAGGCTTGCTGGACCGATATCAGTCGGCGCGCACAACTCAGAGCCCTCATCTGGCCACGTATCAAGAAACTGCCTTTCTGAATGATGCAGATATGGTGATGAGCTTCGTCAATCTGGGTGAGTCGCTTGAAATGATCGTGGAAGATGTGGTTTTGTGCGTCAAAGCCCGTGTAATGATGGTGCGATGAAAGGATCGAGCAAAAAAAACCCAAAAACAAACCAAACACTGAGCTGAAAGTAGAACAGGTGTCCAGGAACTGAGCTCCAGCCTGTATGTGAGGGGAACTATTATTTGGCAAAAGTGATGTCAGTTTTGTGAGATTATTGTTTAAAAAGAAAAATGACGCTAAAAGACAAACGATCTTTCATGCGCAGCACCTGGACCTCATTTTAGCGTCAGATCAGATCTTGCATCACGCACGTGTTCTGGATCCTGCACTGATTGTGAGAACCACACAGAGGCCAAATAAGTCCCTCATGTACTCTGTGGCTGAGAAAATCCCCCCGTGTTTGTATTGTTTGGGAGTTATTTATTATTACGCGCTCTCTCTTTGGGTATTGGCCCACTTTGGCTCATTTACAGGAGCCAAATGCTGTGGTCGGCTTCTCCGTGCACTGTTCTCCATGATTGATGTCTTATATCCTCAACAAACCATCAACCACCACCGCTGGTATTTGTA